GTATTGATTTCTTCTTTTTCCTCCTTGCCACTGTGATAAAACCATCCGTCTTGGTATGATTATTTGTTGTCAGGTTTGCTAATAAGTCAGAATCCGTCTGCGATGAGGAATTCCGTTGCAGGAGAGCATTGATTTTAGAGGTAAGCACCTTCTAACCCTTCCTCCACTCTTGACAATTTTCAATAAAACCTCCATCTCCATCCGATGAATACCCCTTTGCAGAAACAGTTGGATCATACTCTTGTAGTTTAAGAATTTGCATCAATTTGTAATCATCTGATGCCCTCGTTGTTTGGTAAATTTCAGACGGAGAAATACCTTCTGTAATGGATTCATGCTTGTGAAAAGAAGGCAAAACAAAATCTGTATGTTGAAGATTGGAAGGTTCAGGATGGTCCCCAATTTCAGTGAAAACCTCTTCCACCTCTGTATCAGATTCCACTGGAACCTTAGAAGTTGAAGGGATATCCGTTGGCTCAATTTGCTGAATCACCGGCTCCATCACTATCGATTTTCCTTTATCAACAAGAGTTGGGTGACATGTAGTATTATTAACCAAATTCCTCTCCCCCAGATCCTTGTCTGTAATAATGTGTTTGGTTTCATTCTTGTTCAAAAGTTTGGGTTTAGGAACCCATTTATCAACTCCAATGCTCCCATTAGGAGCCGCAGCAACCTTGGAATTATTCCTCTTGGGGCAACAATTAATTGAATGCCCTAAATGGAGACAGTGTCCACAATAATGAGGTCTGTTCTCATATATCACAGCCTGAAAAAAGCCACGTGATCCACATTGGATCCAAATTTTGTTAGGCATCTCTTGTAATAAATCTACCTCAACACAAACCCTAGCACAATATGGCCTAGATAGTGACGCTGTGGCAGCGTCGATCTTCAATGGCGTTCCAATCAATCTAGCAATATCAAACAGCGCTCTCTGGTCATGGAGATGGATCGGCAAGCCTTCCAAACTCAAATTGGAACTACCGAGGATTCCACATTTGGCTCAAAGTCCGGAGTCCATTTTGTAACTCGCATCTCATTACCAAATATATCCCAAATTCGACGATGAAAACATCTAAGATAATCATCCTCCAAATCAAACCTTATAAGCACATGTTTTTTCTCCAAGACCCCAAGTTGAAATTTACCTTTAAACCCAATTAATTCAAAGGCTTTCCTAAGTGTAGGCATGGCCGGACGTCCCTTGAAGAAATACCCTACCAAAGCCCTGATATGTTTGGAGGCCAAGATTTGAACATCATCATCCGGGAATACCACCGAGGGAACCCCTTTGTATCGAGTAGAGGCCTTCTTTGACAAAGGACGGTCTGGTTGCTCCCCAGCAACCACTGCTGCGAATGATCTCCCTTCCCAAGCTTTTCCTCCCTGCCTAGGAGGAGGCAGATCCTCCCCCGTCCGAGCGTTCTCCGTCATACGCCGAAATTCGCCAGAGCTCAGTTATCTCGTGTCCCCTCACTTGCACCCTTCAATATCTCCCCATACAAGGCCTTCTTCATGAAACATACATAATCACTTTTCTTTGGATCCACAAACCCTTCAAATTGAATCATATAGATATTTTTATCTAGATCACCATGCAAGAAATCAATAGTCACATCCATCTGTTTCATTTCTCAATGAAAGTGAGACACAAGCGCAAACATAATTCTAACAGTAGTAAACTTAATACAAGAGCAAATATCTCAACATAATTTACCCCTCCTTTTGAGTAAACCCTTTAGCTACCAACATCGCCTTAAACCTACTAACATCATTAGGTTCACCCTTACCTTAAAGAACCACTTACACTCAACTACATAACATTGGGGGATCTAGAGACAAGGGTCCAAGTCTAAGTTCACTCTCAAAGAGTACATCTCACTTTTCATGGCATTGGTCCATTTTGAGACTCTTTGGAACCTAAACTCTTTGGCATTAGTGTAACGACCGTACTTTTTATATACGCAGTATTTTTTATGTGTTTAATTCATCAATAGGATCATGTTTTGATTCATGGGTTGAGTGCTATACATGTGAAGAATGAGGATATTATGTGATTATGAACTTTGTGATAATTATATTTGAACTTACATGCTTGTATTATGTTCGAACGTGACAGGCGACGGTATCCGGTGAGCAATGAAACTATACCGTAATAATCATTTTTATTCCGGATCAAATGGTAGCCATGTTAGATAGTATTTGGGTGTTGAAATGTAGTTTAAAATGTCAACGGGGGTCTAGGATGTGAACGACAACCATCGGGGTCGGTTTAGGGCGAAAAATGACGTTTTCGGCACCCGATTGACCTCAAATCGGCGCCGGTTCGGGTCTAACCGGCGCCGGTCCGAAATATAAAGTTGTTAAATGGAATAATAACCGGCGCCGGTCATGGCCAAACCGGCGCCGGTCCGTTCGGTTTTCAGCATGTCGGTAAAAAATCGTTTTTAAGCTCAAAACACCCCCTTTCTGCCCCAAAATCAATCTAAGCTCATCTCTCTCCCTACAAATCGTTCCTAAACCATTCTTAAGGTGATTCAAGATCTAAATAAACATATTATTCATCAAAGATTATCACTTGATAAGATTTACACTTGGTGAGAAGTATTTCTTTCATATTTTGAGCTAGGGTTCTGGTTTTGGGGATTTTGCTAGGGTTGAAGGATTTTGAATTGATTCCTTAGAAATCAATGGATTTTCTTGATAAATAGGTTGTCATGGAGTTGTTGTAAATCCTTGATTTCATCACTTCAATTAGTTTTTTTTAACTAAATAGTTTATTATTAGTAATCACAAGAAGAGTACGGAAGGAGAGGGAGGCTAGACCAAAACCTCTCCCGAAGAGGCATTCCTCTTCGAAACTAATGAAAATAAAGTAAAAATATTTGGAGGGACAAATCTTACCCCAATAGAAAACATTTTGAAAAAAAAACGAAAATAAGGATAATCATTCCCCTTTCAGCAACATGATCAAAAGATATAAGGAGTTGACCTCTTGTCAAGCATAAGAGCCCCTCTAAGCTCACTAGGAATTTGATCTCCCCATCTCCACTTGAAAGCCATCTGCAGGCCCAATCTAGCCACAATCCCAGCTACCTTATTAGCCTGAGTCGGAATCAATTAGTTCTTGAGTATTTAGCTACCCCAGAGTTTTGACCTATCTAATGGAAGTATTTGAGAGGTGTCTTAAGTTTAGGGGCTGATTCTAAATAAATATAAGGAGCCCTTGATATTATACTAATTAGTTAGTTGTTTTTAACTATTGGTTGTGAGTATTAATCGGGGTTAGGTTATCTAGTTACCCCCGAAGCTATGTCCGACTTGTTGTAAGAATTCGGGAGTTTTCTCACTAGTCGGGGCGAATTGTGAACTTCCTCTCATCCTTAAGTCTAATGATATTTATAAAGACATGAAGTTAAGTTTGATCAAGTGTAAAATTGTGTATTATTAATTATAGTTGCTCATCGAAGAACCGTTGCTCCAGGATGTCAGACACACACACACACACACAAGAGTAAATACTCTGCCGAAACCAGATAAGTCACCACCACCTATACATGATAGTTCTAAATAAAGTGTGGAAAATTAGCTAATTATGAATATGATATATGTGCATGGGTACTTGAAATCGTATGGTATGAAACATGTGAATTCCAAGTTATATGTACCGATTGACATGTGGTGTTAATTGTGAAGCTGTGGAATATTGTGAATGTGATGTATGTGCATGAATACTTGAAATTGTATGACATGAGATATGTGAATTTCAAGTTCTATGTTTGATTTGGGGTTTTCATATGGAACCAACAATGAAAGGAAATTATGATGATGATGATGATGATGATGATGATGATGATGATGATGATGATGATGATGATGATGATGAAAGTAATGAAATACAAGTAATGTTACAAGGTACCCATGCCGCCAAGTAACTACTTGAGCTGAGCGTAGCAGGATCTCCTTCCGCGGGGAGTCCCGGGGTTGCTTCTGATGGTGAGGGCTAGCTACCCGAGGTCATTAGCGAGGGGCCAGGACACGAGCTACGGGCCCATCAAGTCAAGAAATAAGATAAGAAGAAAGAATGATGAATAAGGAAATCTTTTTGTGTTTGTTACATGAGTGCTTTTGTGTGACTATCATGTTTGGTTATAGTATATGTGTGGTGTATTCAGCATGGGTATCTATTTATGATTAGCTAAGATTCCCTAAACGTTTTTAGTGGATGAAATGGTGACTTACTAAGCATTATTGCTTACGAGAATTCTATTCTCTTATGTCCTCATGTATAGGGAATAAACAAGGTATGGAAGCCTGAGAGAATGTATGGAGCCGGTGACAAGGTTTTGGATGGGTTAACGGAGAAGATCGGGCTATCAGTTATGTTGTTGTTTTAGTACGTTGGTACTTCAAAGGATTGTTAAACGTTTTAAAATCCTAATCAGGTGTAATGGTTTTAAATATGTTTTATTTTGGATACATTTCATTTTCGTTATGAAGTTTGCTTATGTATATAAGAAATAAAGTCTCATATCGAGGCTTTGTATCTTTATTTTCGCTTGGTTTATCGAGTCTCTTTTATGTTTGAGTATCGTAATGGCCGTTTTGGGGACGGTCGTTATAGTTAGTCTAATGGATCACACACACAAGTTAGATAGCAACATCTCCCCAAGTAAAGTTGGCATCATCATCGAAAACCAAATCATCCTCAGCATCCTCTCCATCTCCCCCCATTACTCCCACCAACCACTCATTGCTACCATCCAAATCATTTAGGCGAATTGGATCGATCTAATCATGGCTATCAAACTACTCCTTAAGATCTTGGTTATATTTAATATAAACCAAATCTTGCAACCTTTGATGCTCTATCCTATTTCTCTTCTTTGAATGAATTTATGTTACAAATTTAAATTAAAATGAAAACAGTACACTAAATCACTAATACACTATATGTTTGTTGATAGAACTTTTAAGAAAATGTAATAATAACATACATGCTCAAATGTACTCCAATTGCGCTGACATCCTGATGAGCTACAAGTCAAACTTAAGATCTTTATGTCAAGCCTTTGAAGATTTGGTGTATGTGATCCATAGTTCCTCCACCATTCACCTTTAAGTGGAAGTAAACATTAAACACTAAACATTCTATTAGGGCTGCTTATTTAAAAAAAATCAAATGCTTTAACTTACCGGGACCATGAGAATCTCTTTCTTTGCCTTACTGCCAGCTTCAACCCAAAGGGACCTTCAGCTCTCTTATAAGCATTCAGCTCACATGAAATTTTATCTCCAATTTCTTCACTTTCACTAAGCCTCTCAATGCACGCATAAAGCCCTTGCATAACCTCATTGTCCAGGTCCATTCTTGGGTTGTTGTAGTAGAAAGAAGGGTTCAAATAATGACCAGTGGCATGGGTGATGCAGTTGAGTTTCCCATCATAAATCAATGATTTCAAATATTTTTTTGTATCTCCTTTCATTTCCTTGAAAAGAATTCTGAATTGCTTCCTTGGCTCGACTCATTGCTTCATAAATGTATCCCGTTTCGGGTTTTTTCTCATGATCGTCTAGCCTTAGAACGTGCACAAGAGGGCCCATTACTTTCTGAATGTAAACAACATCATTCCACAATGTAGGATTAAGGATTATGTCCAAAACTCTTTGCATTTTGAACTTTGGAAGCATTAGTCTTTTTCCATTCATCGGAAGTAAACATGTTTCTAAGCTTTGTTCTTTGAGTATGCAGTCATTGCAAGGTAAGGAATTACATAGCAAACCTTGTGTTGGGTTAAGGGCCCAAGCCGAGGTCCGGCCCACTAACCCATTTTGCCGGACGAACGTCCAGTTAGAACACTAGGCCAGCCCACAGGCCCATGTTCCTTGAGGATGGACGAACGTCTGGGGTTGGGGGTTCAGGCCCAGCGGCCCCTCCCGACGAGCGTCAACGTAGGGACGAGGAGCAGGGCCACGGGCCACCAGGGATGACGACGAACGTCCCCATGGCAATCCTATAGTCATCGGAGGAAACCCAGTCCACATGGTGAATACCCGTAAGGCCAGGAGACGAACAGCCGGTATCTCCTGAGGGTCCCTTGGGGCGATCCAACTCACTTCCCGGGCGGACGAACGTCCCCACCGATTGGGCGGGAAACCTAGATTCTGGCGGGAAGAGCATTTAATGCTGAAGATTTGGTGGTTGGGGCACCAGCGGTCCACAGGCTGCCACGTCAGTATAGCCACCTGCCCATTGGTGGGTATAAATAGAAGCATTTATTTCATTGTAAAGGGTTGGCAACTTTCTATTCTTAGCATACTAGCTTCAGCATTATTACTCGCAGCATTTCTAACTGCCTTGTAAGACGAACGGCCGACGTGCCTTTTTTAGCAAGTAGATTGTACTTAGGGGAGTTATTACGAAGTTAATAATACCTATTTACATTGCCTGCTATTTCTTTTGTTTCCTGATCCATCTGATAGTTGTTGGGCTAGATATTCATACACTTACTCCACTCGAAATCTTTGGGCTTACGTGTTGGGTCCAAGGGTTGAAGGAATAAACCTCAACACTGGCGCCGTCTGTGGGAAACTGAGCAAAAAGTTTCCAGAAACTCTCCCGAACAGCTACTAAGTCTACCTACAGCAAACACGATGTCAGGAAGCAACCAGCGTGATCTCTCCGAGCGTCTGGAGTCAAGCCGCCGGAATCACGGCCAGAACTCGGAACTATCCGCAACAATATGGACCTCCGGAGGAAACGGGGGTATCACTGACCTCATTCCCCTGGAGGCCAGGCAGGATCCCCGCCTCATGCGGGAACTCGCAGACACCATGCGTCGCTTGGCAGACGAGCGGGAGGCCCGAGATCAGGTGTACTCCGCAAGCACCCAGCGAACCCCCCTCTCTCCCATCCGCCGCATGCAGTCGTATGATGATACGACGGGATCCATCGACCACCGGCCCTCAGTCCACGAGCGGCTAGGTGGGGGTTCAGGCTCCCGTGAAACGGGAGGGCGAACCAGGGTCAGCATCGTTGCATCCAGAGCTCACACGCCATCGGTTCCCCGCCAAATCCCGCGGGGAGACGAAACCCCGAGGATCAACACCGTTGGACGACGTTTCCAACGGCGAGATGCACAGATCTTTAGGCGGCCGCACGATGCTGTGGCCGCCCAGCAGAATGCCGTTCCCGAAGCCGCGCCCCCTGTGTCCCCCGGAAGGGCCGCACAGGACGCAAGGCTGGAGGCAATGGAACGACAGATAGCCGAGATGAATAGGCGGGCGGACGTCAGCTCGGCCACTCCCTCTTTCTCCCTCACATCACCCTTTACTCCACGGGTGATGAGCGTCGAGATTCCCCGGGATTGCAGACCCCCGGGTAACTTGGTGTATAATGGGGCCGGCGATCCCAAGGCACATCTGATAAGCTACCAAGGGAACCTGTCCATGCTGGGAGCATCGGATGAAGCCATCTGCAGGTTATTCTTCAGCACCCTCAGGGGGCCGGCGCAAGAATGGTTCGGTCAGTTGAGGCCGGGCACCATCGACTCATACGAACAGCTCTCCCGGCAGTTCATGGCACAATTTGCTGCCAGTACCACCCCCAGGAAGGACGTCACGGCCCTCGCCCACATCAAACAAGGGCGGGACGAACCGCTGGCTAGGTTCCTGGTAAGGTGGAGAGACGAGGTCCTGCAAGTCGACGATCTGGACGAACGTCTGGCCACCAACATGTTCACCAGTGCGCTGGCCACAGGGGACCTATACCGGGACCTGAGAAGGAATCCCGGCACCAGCTATACCGAGGTTTTGGCTCGGGCACAAAAGTATGCCTCCATTGAGGAGGAGATCAGGCAGCGGGACGGGGTTCCCGCGGCCCAGCCAAGGAAGATGGCGGACAGGCTCGGACCCCGACCGGGACCCGGGCCCTCACCCCCGAGCAAAAAGAAGAGGGTGGACGGAGCAATGATCCCTTGGAAGGCTCCGTCCGGAGACAGTCAGACGCGGCCGGACGACCGCTATATCCCATTGGCCTATCCAGTGAGCCAAATCTTCGAAGCCATCAAGGACAAGGGCCTCCTGACGGAACCCCAAGATATGACGAAGCATATGGGGCTTGACCAATCGGCTTACTGTGAATACCATCAGAGGGCCGGCCACCTGACGGACAATTGCAGCCAATTGAAGAAAGCAATCGACGAGCTGATCCGCCAGGGGTACTTGGGCGAATTCACCCAGCTGCTGAACAAAAACAGTCAGCAGAAGCCAAACCCTAGGCACAGGACATGGCGCCGCGACGACCGGCGCGAGGCAGAACCTCAGGACGTGGATTATCGGAGTGCAGACAAACGTCCGGAGGGATCCCTCGGCCCGAAGGGCAAGAAGAAAAAGTTGGAGATCAAGGTGATCTTCAGGGGCGCTGAGACAGGGGATACACCCGCCGAGCGGAAGAAATTTGAGAGATCACTCTATGTGGGTTCCGTATCAGCACCCCCCACCAAGCGCAACAAAATCGAGGCAATTACCTTCGTCCCCGCCGATCTGCCGATGTCACCGGTGCCGCACAGAGACGAGCTGGTGATAAGCATGGACGTGAACGATGCCATCGTCCGCCGCGTCCTCGTTGATACCGGCAACAGTGTGAACGTCCTCTACTGGGATGCTTTCGAAGGAATGAAGCTCAGGAAGGACATGCTGCACCCTTTGCGCACCCCGCTGTCCGGTTTCACCGGGGATTGCATTGACGCTGAGGGCACCATCATCTTGCCGGTGGAGATCGACGACGGCCCTCATACTGCCCGGATCGGGATGACGTTCGTCGTGGTCCGCTTAAAATGCGCCCACAACGCCATTTTGGGCCGACCCGGCTTGGAAGACTTGGGGGCCATATGCTCCGTACGACATTCATGCATCAAATTCCCCACCGACACTGGAGTGGGAGTGGCACGTACGGACCCACATATGGCCAGGGCCTGCTACACGAAGGCCATGGAGAAGCTCAACGAGCGGGAGGCTCGGGTCAACAGCATCTCCGAGAAAGCCAAACAGGCCGACTTGGACGCTCATCTGGAACCAGCAACTCTGCTGGAAGAAATCGAGCTCGACGACCCGACGGACAGGAAGGTGTCCATCGGTGCGGATCTAGAGCCGGAGATCAGGGCGGGGGTCATAGCTGTCCTCCGAAGGTTCAGGATCTTATTCGCCAGAGGGCCAGAGGACATGCCGGGCATCGACCCCAACCTCATATGCCATAGACTCGCTGTGCGGTCGGACGCCAAACCCGTGCAACAAAAGAAAAGATACATGGCGGCCGACCGACGCGATTTCATCAGGAAGGAGACGGCGACTCTCCTCAGCATCAAACACATCCGGCCGGTCATCCACGTGGAGTGGCTGGCCAACGTGGTACTAGCCCCGAAGGGCGACACTTGGCGGATGTGCGTCGATTACTCGGACTTAAACAAAGCTTGTCCGATGGATCCTTACCCTGTCCCGAGGATCGACTTGCTGGTGGATGAGACGGCAGGCTGTGAGCTGCTCAGCTTCATGGACGCATTCAGGGGCTACCATCAGGTTTTCATGCACCCCGATGATGCCGAAAAAACGGCGTTCGTTACGGCAGACGGTGTGTATTGCTACATCGTCATGCCGTTCGGCCTAAGGAACGCCATGGCTACTTTTCAGAGGATGATTGGGATGTTGTTCAAAGACGTACTTGGGAAGACAATGGAGGCTTACGTGGATGACATCCTGATCAAAAGCAAGAGAAAGGAGGACCATGTCAAGGACATGGAGAGGGTCTTCGGCGTTATGGAAAGAGCCAGCATGAGGCTCAATCCGAAGAAGTGTGCCTTCGCCGTCAGGGGCGGCAAGTTCCTCGGCTACATGATGAGCGAGCGGGGGATCGAGCCTAACCCGGAGAAGGTGAAGGCAATAATGGACATGGAGGCCCCGAAGAACCTAAAAGACGTGCAGCGCCTCACCGGGCGTCTGGCGGCCCTGAGCAGATTCTTATCCAAGCTGGCTGATAAGGCGATTCCCTTTTTCCAGATCATGAAGAAGGCCAATCCCTTTGAATGGACCCCGGAGTGCCAGGCTGCTTTCGAGGATTTCAAGGTATATCTCTCCTCTCCGCTCGTCCTCACCAAAGCGGATCCCGGGGAGAGATTGTACATGTATCTGGCAGTAGCTGATCTGGCTGTAAGTGCCGTGCTGCTGAAAGAATCTGAAGGCGTTCAGCGGCCAATATACTTTGTGAGTAAGGCGCTGAACGGCCCCGAGACGAGATACACACTGATGGAGAAGACGATCCTCGCCTTGATTGCATCCATCAAACGCCTGGCGCCGTATTTCCAAGCACATCCGGTAACCATCTACACAACGCAACCCCTCGCCACAGTCCTCAGAAATCCAATGGCGAGCGAAAGGATAACCAAGTGGTCCTTGATGATCGGCCAGTATGACGTGGACTTCAAACCAAGGCCGACGATCAAGGGACAGGCACTGGCGGACTTCATTGCAGAATGCACCGCGCGCACCGAGGACGAATCCCATGACAGCAACGACTTCGACAATTGGTGGGAGATGTACACCGACGGGGCCTCGAG